GAGCATCTATAGGTGGTGGGGCCATTCAGAGGGCTTTCACAGTGGTTCAGCTGAGAGGACATTAGGCCTGAACCAGAGCAAAAGTCGGGGACATGTAAAGGAAGAAAAGGGAGATTTGGGAGGCAAGTGCTAACATCATCAGTAGGGCTTTTTAAGAGAAATTCAGAAAAAGGAGTTGAAGACCTATCTAAATTTTCGATGGGGTAACAGGAAAAATGAATAGTGATTCTTCTGGTGGAAACAGGAAATGAAAAGTTTAAGATTTGGAGGGAGGATTAAGGGATATGAGGAGATCAGGAAGTGGGAAAATATCCTGCAGAGAAAATTCTTTACCTCGATAACCCATTCCAGCACTTCAGACATACCCCTGGACAAGAGTCATTTTCATTGTCTTGTTTATGTGACTTAATCTCTCATATGCTGACTCAGACTTATTTCCTCTTCTATTCTGAGGATAGGTGAGAAAGATAAAGTGTCATTGTTCTTAAAATACCCCTCCCGGAATGAAAACTTTCACACCATTCAAAGCAAGTGCTGTAAATCACAAGAGAACATTTTTCTTTTACATCAGCCGCCTGTTAAATGATTGTTGCTTGGATTTATAAGCAGATTGGATTATAGAGGAATATTAAATTCTCTGCCTTCTCTGTTTTTCTCATGTCCTAGTAAATTTAGATCTAGCTTGTTGCTGCCCAACCCTCTTTTCTCCATCTGAGATTTATATGAGAAACAAATTTAGAGGGAAATAGAAGGGAGATGGCAAAGTCCAGCTTAGAATGAGCAGAGATTCTTTGTGCCAAACAGCAGATGCTGTAGCCCTTCAGAACTCTGAGCCCCGTCGTCTTCTTTACTTACTCCTTTTGGTGCCGTATTTAAGTTGCTTTTTCTCCCCGCTGTCTTGAATGTCCAGGCAATTACTCCGTAGTAACTGACTCATTAGCTCGTGGACTTTGCAAACTCCTGTGAAGACTTCCTGTTCCTACACCTTCAGTGGCCACGTCTCGGGAGGACAGTGTCCAGCCTCCTTTCTCCCACAGCTCCTGGTTCTGCGAAAAGTCATCTGGCTGGTTCCGCATGCCCCTTCCTGATTTGGTGATGGAACTCCAAATTTAACATCTTCTCGCCCCACTCTACTTAAAGTCTACCCATCAGAACATCTAATCCAAAAGAGCAGGCCCCGTGAAGTGTCATTTAGGGACATATTGCTGCTGATAAAATTAGTTTAACATATTTCACAACTACCACAAAAATAAGGTACAGTAAAGGTTGGGTTTTTTCCCCCTTAAGTCATAAAACCACAAGGACAAACAATAGGAGAAAAGAAGAGATATCACAGCCACATTTTGGAAAGCTAGAATTCAGAATGACAAGTGTGAACTGATTTATCAGATGTAAAGCCGAATCCTAAGTGTGAGGCAAGCCGTGCAGCAACTCTGCACCCCAGAACCCCAAAAAGCATGGTCATTAGTGACATCAGGTCCTTTTTGTGGAGGAAGAGATGAAACTATAAACAGGAGGATTGGTTGGAAATTCACATAAGAAACACTTAGACTCTCAAATTCTTTAGCTTCTCCCAGAAAGGCAACTGCCCTTTGCCTCCAGGAAGGAGTTTGGAAGAGTCATCTCTAGGCAATCTGACCAGCCCAAGAGAATAAGACTTAAATGGATCAGTCCAATCACATCTCTCTATATACTGCAGCCATAGTTGACCAATCCTGCCCATGTACACAGTGTTTCCAAATACCTTGTACTGAGTGTCCCAGTCTACATATGAGCAAACAGCCCAGGATTGTCTGACCACGGAGGTCTGCAACTTGAAGGTCTCACCAGTACAAACAGAAAAAAGCAACTTGGAACCAGAAACTATGCAAAGAGATTGTAAACCTGCCCCCTCCAAATGGGGGAGTGAATGAATGTCTCAGAATTGAGAGATTGTATCCTTGAAAGAAAGAACAAAAAATACACTGTTTTTAAAAGTACCCCTGGAAATGAAAAATAAGATAGCAGAAATGAAAATCTTAATGGCAATAATGGAAGATAAAATTGAGATCACTGCCCAAAAAATATAATTAAAAGTACATATTATCATACTAGAAAGTAAGAAAGAAAATTGGAGTATTAGCCTCAAAAATCTGCCATCTGAACAGTAGACATTCTAGACGAGAGCACTGAAAAAGGGAGAAGAAAAAAATCATCAAAGACATAATTTGAGAAAATTCCCCAGAACAGCAGGGCATGAGCTTTGAGATTAGAAGAGCCCCGTAAGGTATGCAAATCAATGGGTAAAAATCGGCCAACACTGAGGCCTGTCACGAATGATGTTTCAGAACATTAGGAAGAGGCTAAAAGTTTGCAGAGAGGAAGCAAAGAAACTAAGATCACGTGGTAGGGACAAGGAATGGGGATACCAACAGCAGCGCCTAGACAGCGGAGCGATGCCTTCACATTCTGAAAGGAGATTATTTTCAGTTTAGAAGTCTATGCCCAGCCAAAATCTCACATGTAAAAATAGAAAGACATTTTATAATATGTCAGATTTTATAACATTTGTTTCCCAAACATCCTCTTTCCTACTGGGAGAGGTATTTCACTAGAATAAGACAGTAAACCAGCAAAGAAGGGACTAAGATTGCAGCTTAAAGCTGGGTAAAGAGAACTTCCAGGATGGTGAGGTGTGGTCCCGTAACGTCACGTGAGGTCCCATGCTGGCAGATGCAGCCAGCTCATAGCCAGAGGAGATACATAGGGATATTCTTGAAGGAAGCGCAGGAATCTGTTAATAATTATTACCTTAGAAGTAAAAGTGGGAGGACAGAAAAGGGGCACATTTTCCTTTTCCCCTTACACTTTTATGTAATAGTTGAGTCTTGACTATAGCATGTATTACTTTTCTGATTTTTTTTTTAAAGGAAGAATATACGCTGCCTCCATTGGAACATCTCCAATAGATATGCTTGACGTTTGGGTACTAACAATAGAATTTTTCCTTTTGTTTGGAACCTACAAAGGAATTTTGCTAGGAAATCCTTAAATCCTGTAGCCAACCTTGCCTGATCATTTTGGGCTTATACTTTCTTACTGTAGGAAGGAGTCTGTGACTAGGGAAGAATGTCATTTTGGCAAGAAGGACCTGAACTCTCTAGAAGATAAACTCCCCTCCCAGGGTCAGTATTAGGCTTTCCGTACACAGAGTGTTAAAGAAGGGCTTCTTTGGGATTGGAAGACTGCAGAAGCCCTGTTCTTACAAGGGCCCCCTCCCAGGAGTTTTCTCTGCTCCGAGACCCTTGGTTACCAAAAATTAGTCTCAGATGGAAGGTTCAGGGCTGCGGGCTTCCTCTGTCTTTGACCTAAGAGAACATGCTGGGAATTGTTTGTTTGTTTGCTTGCCAGAGATTTTATCTTGACCAGAAGAGCCGATAAGATCAAAAAGCAGAATTGATCTTTCCTCCTCAGTTTTCTTTCTCTGTTCAGGGCAGGGAGGTGTGATATCTTAGCCAGGGACAAATGGGAAATTTAATACATGTCTTGAGTCGGGGAGAAAAAGAGGTTGATGGTCATTTAATACCGGCTATATTTCACTGTAATAAAATCGAAACGACTCTGTAGTGTGTTCTAATCCCTATGCTTTCTTTGCTCTTTCTCAACATATTTGGATTAATCACTTCAGAGCAGCCATGCCAAACGTCCAAACCACCCACTTTCCTATTCCCAGCACATCAAATAGAGGGAGGCCAGCTGAACTCTGGGCCAAGCATTTAGATGACTTGTATGTCTGATTTTTGTTCCATAATATGAAACTCAAAATAAATCAAAATGGAAAAATTTTCCAGATACCAGATAATTCATAAAAAAAAAATATCTTCAGCCTCTTTACTCCTCACACACATGCAAAGCTGATGAACACAGGTACAAGGGTTTTGAGAATTAATTCCTGTAGCCCAGATAACTCCTGTGCTGCAGTCTCACTAAAGCTCCATGTTCAGTTTTAGGCTCTAAAACTTGAGTGAAACCGAAAGAGTTTTTTAGGGTCTAGAAGAGAGTGACAGAAATGGTGAAAGACTTGGAAAGTGGGTCCTTCGAGGACAGGTGGTAGGAGACAGAATCTGAGCTTAGAAAATAATGTGTGGTGAAAAAGAAACTTGTGAATAGCAAAAAATAAAAAAATAAAACCAGTATAAAAAAGGGAAACGAGTATAAACGGTAGAGGAGGCTATTTAGTTTAGATGTTAGGACTGTGAAACTTGTTAAACACAAAAATGAACAGCCAAGGGAACATTGTAGAGTCCAAGTTATAAAGAGACAGGCTATATTCAGTCTTGTGGCATACAGACTAGGGTCCTTCTATAAAGACAGACAGACAGACGTGTTTACAACAGTCTCTCCCAGGCACCACACACATCTGATATTCCACACAATTGGCAGAAAAACACAAATTTGGCACCTCTGTGGTTCACTCACCAGCAGAGCAGTGCACGCTGTTGGTAAGCAAAACTTGATGCCAGGATAGGTGAACTGTATAAATGGGAGCTGTGAGCAACAATAGGCCTAAGCGTTCTAGAAAAGAGAAAGCTTTTCCTGGCCCTTATCGCTGGGTATAAAGAAATTTAGAAAAAGAGAGGAAAACACCTGGAGAACACATTGGAAAATGAAAAAAGATAAGGTAATCATAAGAACAAAGGCCATTTACTGGGGCGGGAAATTTGTATAATTAGATTGATCCAAGAATTACCTTGTCTTAAGAATATAATTTTCTGTTAAGATACAATATCTTCCTTTGCCACATAAAGAGAGTCTCTTCCCTTTACAAAAGAACATCACCAAATTATGAGGAAGTTTAAGTCATACTTTGAGTTACTGGCAAAGCCAGGACTAATCCCCAAGCTTTCTCCTTTTGGCCAGTCTCTACCCTGGAATATGGCCATTCTCCATGGGTATGAAGACTTACTTCCTTGCCTCGGCTTCTGTTTTAACGGCAGGCCTTTATCTCTCCTCTCCTGCAGCTGGGATGAAAGCAGTTCCATCAGCAGTGGGCTCAGTGATGCCTCAGATAACCTCAGCTCAGAAGAGTTCAATGCCAGCTCCTCGCTCAACTCCCTCCCAACCACTCCCACTGCTTCTCGCAGGAACTCAACAGTAGTGGTACGTGAGTTTGCAGATGCACAGGCCACCGTCCCAGGATGAGCCGCAGGGCAGCCTGGGGGACGGGTTTGCCCATACACTCACCCACTCCATGGGACTGGCTCCCATATGCCTTCGGCCAACTCCTTCTAGAAAAGACGTCACCTAAGTGGTCACCTAAGACATGAGCAGTGGTCAGAATGAGTGGTGCCTGTATCGAGTGCCCACAACTGTGTAGAGTGACACATGTAAGAATTATTCCATCTGGGGAAGAAAACGAAGCCCAGGGATATTTGATGTCATGTTTTCTCTCTGGCACCCTTGATGTGCAGGTAGAAAACTTGGGTTGACTTAACACTCTGGGAAGAGACCGGCCACCCAGCAACCAAAATAAAGCCCGTCAGCCCCAGCCCTCCACTTTCCTGTCCCCAAATGAGGGTCTCATTCTGCTTTTCCTCTTCAGCTGCGCACAGACTCAGAGAAGCGCTCACTGGCAGAAAGCGGGCTGAGTTGGTTTAGCGAATCTGAGGAGAAGGCCCCCAAAAAGCTGGAGTACGACAGCGGCAGCCTGAAGATGGAGCCGGGGGCTTCCAAGTGGCGGAGGGAGCGACCCGAGAGCTGCGACGATTCATCCAAAGTTGGGGAGCTGAAAAAGCCCATCAGCCTGGGCCAGCCTGGCTCCCTGAAGAAGGGCAAGACCCCCCCAGTGGCTGTCACGTCTCCCATCACTCACACGGCCCAGAGTGCCCTCAAGGTCGCAGGTGAGCCCGGAACCACGGACGGCACGGGGGTGTAACCTGTTTCTTGGATGGTAGCAAGCATTTCAGAGTCCTGTGCGGTAGGAAAGTCAGTGCTACCTCCACATTACCTCCAGCAGGGCGAGCCCCTGAGCCAAAACCATGCGCCTAGGAAGAGCGAGAGGAGGGGGTGTGTCCGGTTGGGAGGCCTGTGGGACCTGCCTTCAGACACTTCCCGCCGGCTCTGCCCTTTCCTCTCCTGACCTGTCTGGTTGGTGTACTTACCTGCACAAGGTTCTTGCTTGACATTCCAGGAAGGCCCTGAGAAGATGACAGATCAGAATCGTATCACTCCCAAAGTTGGCCCCTTGGGTTACTTTTCGCCTTAATCAGCATTTCTCTCTGGTCTCTAATGACCAGCAGGCGTTGTCAGACTGCAGGCCATTCGCTTCCTCTCCTTTTATTATTTTACTCTGGAAGCAGAAAACAGCAAATAACAACACAACACAAAACACCAGGCCCCTCCCACCCGGCAGAGTCTCCCTCGGTTGGCGAGAAATCCCATCAGCTTCCCTGGTGCGTGCTTGCCGCTACCTAGGCCTTCCGCGGGGCACAGTCTGTGCAGACAGGAAGGAAAGGGTTGGCCAGGGCGCCGCCTCGGCCCTGGCCCGTCCCAGCGCCCTCCCCACCTCCTGCCGTCCGTCCTGCAGGTAAATCCGAAGGCAGAGGCGCAGACAAGGGCAAGCTCGCCGTGAAGAGCGCCGGGCTGCAGCGGTCCTCCTCCGACGCCGGCCGCGAGCGCCTGAGCGACGCCAAGAGGCCGCCCTCGGGCATCGCCCGTCCCTCTGCGTCGGGATCCTTTGGCTACAAGAAGCCGCCTCCCGCCACGGGCACCGCCACCGTCATGCAGACTGGTGGCTCGGCCACGCTCAGCAAGATCCAGAAGTCCTCGGGCATCCCGGTCAAGCCCGTGAATGGGCGCAAGACCAGCTTGGATGTGTCCAACAGCGCGGAGCCCGGCTTCCTTGCGCCCGGAGCCCGTTCCAACATCCAGTACCGCAGCCTGCCCCGGCCGGCCAAGTCCAGCTCCATGAGCGTGACCGGCGGGCGGGGCGGGCCGCGCCCCGTCAGCAGCAGCATTGACCCCAGCCTCCTCAGCACCAAGCAGGGGGGCCTCGCCCCATCCAGACTGAAGGAGCCTTCCAAGGTGGCCGGGGGACGGCCCGCTCCCGCGCCTGTCAATCAGACGGACCGGGAGAAGGAGAAGGCCAAAGCGAAGGCGGGGGCTGTGGACTCCGACGGCGGCCCCCTGCAGAGCGGCGGCTCCCCAGAGAACGCCCCCAGGAGCCAAGCGAGCCACCCCCCAGCCGCCAAGCTGGCAGAGCTGCCACCGACCCCTCTCAGGTACCTGGGCGGGGCGGCTGCCTCCTCGTCTGTGTTCCTGCGCACCTCAGACCCGGTGAGGCACGGCCGGTCCGCGCTGGACTCTGGGCCTGTGCACGGGTCTTTCCCATCCACCCTCCTGTGTGCCCATTTCCTTCACCCTCTTTTAAAACTGTTTTCAAAGCTCACCTCCTTTGTATTGTTCTCTGACCAACCCATAACGTGCCTTCAGCACTTGCACGGGTGGTTTTACTGTTGAGTTACCCATCTGTGCGCGTGGGTACCGGTGTCTCCCCCATACGTGTGCTGACCCGCTCGTAAGACTTGAAAGTGCCTCGGGTCACATACCAGGTTTCCTTCCCGTGTATTTCTCAGCAGCACTGGGATAAGCCTCTGTACTTAGCGAACAGCCAGAAAGTGAGGAACCTGAATTAGAATTAATTACCTAAGGTCCCATCTGTCTCTTGCTTCTGTAACTCTTGCTATTCTAAATATTTTGTCTTATCTCCACTCCTCTCAGGACTGCAGCTAAGAGCTTTGTCAAGCCACCCTCACTAGCCAATCTAGACAAGGTCAACTCCAACAGTCTGGACCTGCCCTCGTCTAGTGACGCCCACCCCCCCAAGGTCCCGGATCTGCATGCTACAAGCTCGGCCACCGGAGGCGCTCTCCCTTCCTGCTTCGCCCCCAGTCCAGCACCCATTCTCAATATCAACTCTGCCAGCTTCTCCCAAGGCCTGGAGCTCATGAGTGGCTTCAGTGTTCCAAAAGAGACCTGCATGTACCCCAAACTCTCAGGCCTGCACAGGAGCATGGAGTCCCTCCAGATGCCAATGAGCCTGCCCAGTGCCTTCCCCACCAGTGCTCCCATCCCCACCCCGCCTGCTCCCCCAGCTGCACCCCCAGAGGAAGACGTAGAAGAGCTGACCTGGAGTGGAAGCCCCAGAACTGGGCAGTTGGACAGGTAGGTGGACAGAGACAGAGCCGAACCGATGCCTCTGGCTCATTTTGCCATTAGTAATACTGTCCTGTATTTGATTTGTGACTTCGAAGTCTTTTTTCACAGACATTAAGTAATTGCATTTGCTTCACAACTGCATGACATAGGGAGGATTTTCTTTGTTCTTAAATGATTCTCTTCTAAGTGGGGGTGCCAGTGCACAGAGACATTAAATGACTTAATATGAAATCTCTTAACTAGTTTAACCTGTCATCCAAAGCTTTTGTTTCCTACTCCAAAATGATTTGTTATATCACACCCTTGACATAATCTTTTAAACAGCTAACCCCACCCTGATTCCTAAGCTGAGAAAACATTTAGCATTTCAAGTAAATGTCTCATTGCAGGCCGAGAGGCGGACTGCCCCAGCTGTCTTCTTGTTTTGTTGATAGAGATAAAGGGGCTCACAGTTTGATGTCATGTGTCAAGTCTTGCATCCCTCAAACCTCGGGTCCCAAACTCATTCCTGAGGTGCACCCACATGCTGCTTTCTCTTCTTCTCCACAGTAATCAGCGGGATCGGAACACCCTTCCCAAGAAAGGGCTCAGGTAAACCTTTAATGACTTCTCTTCCTTCTACCTGGGGCTCGTGGGCTGTACGAGAAACCATAACCTGCCCTATGCCAGTTGTGAATTCAGTGACCCTCTCAGCCGAGTCATTTATATGTTGCTGCTGCACACATGCCTCCACACACACACTCTGTGCCCCAAGCTTGCGTGTGAGTCGACTATAGAGCTGGTGTTCTGGCAATGGAGGAGAAACAAGTTGGCATGTGGGAGTCATACACTTGTCCCGTACCAGTCTGTGCTGCCACGGTCCCAGCTGAGCTTTCTGGAATTTTCCTTCCTCACAGTCCCAGGAGGAACAGGCTGCTTCTGGGCTCATTCAGATGGGCAAGGGGAGGACACCCCTGGCCCTCCACCCATTGGCAGTGTTGGGTTTCTTGCTTACATGACTCTTGCCACTTGGAAGCCCAGCAGGGAAGCGTCAAGCTGTGTCCTGAGCCTTAATGTCTCCCCCATCATTTCAGTGCCCACCTGAGGTGACCCCATAGGGATACCTGCTGGTTCTTGCGGAGCTCTCTGACGGTCTGGGAGAGGATGCTGAGTCCCCCACTTATGCTCCCGCTTTTCCTTTTCCTGTTTCAGAGCCCCCACACCCACAAAACCTCCAAGAACCCCTTGTAGTTGCCCAGACTGAATTCTGCCTCCTCCTCCAGGTACCAGCTTCAGGCCCAAGAGGACACCAAGGAGAGGCGACATTCCCATACCATCGGGGGGCTGCCTGAATCCGACGACCCGTCCGAGCTGCCTTCCCCCCCTGCCCTCTCCATGTCCTTGAGTGCAAAGGGCCAGCTTACCAACATAGGTCAGTGCTTTCAGCCACTGGCACGGGATGAAGCAGGGGTCACCCTGCAGAGCGAGGCAGGGCAGCTGGGCACTGGGTTTCATCTCATATTTGACTCCCACCATGTCAGGTGGCTTCCTGGTACCTCAGTCTGTCCATTCAAAGCAAGACTTAAGGCAAAGTGCTCCACAATCCTGAATTGGAAAGTTGCCCTGAGGCACATGCTGTAGGGTCCTTGTAGCATCAGAGAATCTGAGTGATGGCGTGAAAAAGCCACAGACTGAGGCCCAGAGATCAAACCTGTGCAGTGAACAGGCAGCCATTGCCAGAACACAGCCACCACACCCAGAGCTGCAAAACTAAACGGTTGGACTGGTGGGAAGGAAGGAGGGGAAGGCTGTTGCACAGGATGGGATCTGCCTCCAAACCCAGAGAAGTCCAGGTCATCCAGATGCAGTGTCTGGGCCAGGTTTGTACTAGCCCTGAGGGCAGGGCTGTCTAAGGCATGTCCCGGCCACACCCTCTCTGAAGCCTCAGGAGAAGGGAAGGCCCGCAGTGAAGGACGGGATTGCGTGATTCAGAGGCAGGGAGGGGAGGCAGCTTCCAGGAGAGGCTGGCCCAGCACGGGGCGCGGTGGCGCTGGTTCTGGGAGGCAGCAGGCCGGGGCTGGCCTAATGGAGCCCCTGGAGGACAGCACCTGGGACAGGCCTGGTGTTTGTTCACTGTCTCTCTCCAAAGCCATCTCCTCTTCCAGTTGAGTAAGGGAAGCAGTCGGGACAAAACGAGGACCTGTGCCTGTGGGATGCCTGTGGGGAATTTGAGGACAAATTAGGAGTCGCAGGATCATTGTACCTAGAGAAGGGAATGATTCTTAATCACAAGTCCTCTGGTCCCCGAGGGCCACTAAGTGGAGGATGGGGCCCCCTTGTTCTCTGTCCCCATTGTGGACCAAACGGGAGGAAGTGCATTCACGCTGCAGGGTGAGGAGCTGAGCGAAACAGGGCTCACCTCCCGTGTTGAAAAGGCTGGTAGGAGGTGTGAAACCTTCCACACAGGTCTTCGTGGAGAGATGGCAGGCACCTGCCTGTGTGGAGAAGGGGCAGCCAGGGGGCTCCCGACAGGAGCCGTAACCCCAGCAAGGGAGGGGCAAAGGGGGGCAGGTTCTGTGCTCGGCAGGAAGGCCAAGCCCAGCTGCAAAGCCCATTCCACCGGCCCGGGTCTGACACTCTCACTTGCTCGTCTATCTGGCCTTCAAGCCAGGGGAACACCGGGCACAGAGGGCTGTGTTTCTTCTGCTTTAGAACTGACCCAAGACCTAGGACACGCTGCTTGGTGGGAGGCCGCCTGCCTTCGTTAATGCCAAGCCCGTGGGGTCCCAGAGCCCCGCCCACTTCTGTCTTTGTCTCTTTCTTGTCATTCAGCTCTGAGTCTTGGTCTGGGTCCTCAGGCCTCCCAAGCTGCCAGTAGTATTTTGGAGAACCACACACCCCTCTTTCATGGGCACATCCAAGTGATGTGAAGGTTTCAGAAAGCTGCCGGGCCCCCAGCCATAACCTTCCAAAGTGACAACTCCAGGCAGGCGGGGCTGAGGGAAGGTCTTTAAAATAGAAAGTGCGCTCTTTGTTCCAGACAGTAGGGTCCTTCTCCGATAGGGCTCGATCTCCCCAGGAGAGACCCCACCCCTGACACCGGCTGCCCGCACACTCCCCGCTCCCCCCACTCCCCGCCCTCTCACCCTTTGCCTCTCTTGCTCCTGGTGCCCCATCCCCCAAGGGGCCGGAGAGCTGATGACCCTGCTCTTCTCCCGCCCTCCCCTCCCTCCCCGTCCCCTCCCCTCTGTCCTTCCAGTGAGTCCCACTGCGGCCACGCCAAGAGTCGCCCGCTCCAACAGCATCCCCACCCACGAGGCCGCCTTCGAGCTGTACAGCGGCTCCCAAATGGGGAGCACCCTGTCCCTGGCCGAGAGACCCAAGGGAATGATTCGGTCAGGATCCTTCCGAGACCCCACGGACGATGGTGAGACTTCATGCCAGCGCGGTTCACGCTCATTCCAGCTCTGCTGGGTCCCCTCACCCGCCACCACACACACATATGCGAGGCTCACAACATCCAGCTGGGCCATTCCGCTCCTCTCTTCCCATTTCTCTGCAGGGTCTGTCGGCCCAGAGACCCTGGGCGGTGCCGTCCAGCCCTGGGGCCAGGGGGTCGAGCTCGGAAGGGTGGAGTGGCAGCCCTCTGGGCCCTGGGGCTGTAGCTCCTGCCCGCCTCCTTCCAGCGGTGGTCTTTCCTTCCCACGTTGGTCAGAATGCATGGAAAGATAAAGGGACATGATGGTGGCTCTTGATCCATATGAAAAATTAGGCCTCTCATTCCTCTTTCAAAAATGCTCCGAAGATCAGGTTCAGGGAGGGCGCTGTGGCTGTTGGTGGTGACGTGGGTGTCAGTGGTCAGAGCCTGAAAAACGGGGCTTTACAGGGGATGAGATTTCCCAGGCCGCTCATTCCAGGAGGCGTTCCTTGCAGGCAGGCGCGCCTTCGTTCTCAGTTGGGCTCTAATGAGTGATCAGAATGAGTGTTTACACTTCAGTACTTTCTTCGTGGGGCTGGTCCTCAGGATGCGAGGCAGGTCCCCCAGTGCAGAGAAGATGCGCACAGACAGCGCTGCAGCACTGCTGTGGGGCAGCTCTGGTGAGAAGCGGCCCTCTTGCGCGGCCAAAGTTCTCTCCTGACTGGGGAGAGCAGATGATACCTATCCGCTGACATCTCCCATCCCCGCCCTTCACCGAGGCGCCCCTGGAGCCCGCTGAGCAAGGGGCCGCCACACCCAGGCTGCCAGAGAGCAGGTAGCCTGGAGGAGGGGGCGAGCTCTGCTCGGGACCTGCCTCAGCCAACACCTGCCACTTCCGGCTGCTGGGACAGCAGTTGGGTCCCCCGTTCTGTTCCTTCTGTTTGCTCCAGACGCCCTCCAGGGTCAGAATCCAGGCTCCTGCCCTACGGCGCTCCCCAGGCGCCCCTCGTCCCGGGCCTCTGCTAACTGTGTTCTGCTTCCCTTGCAGTTCACGGCTCGGTGCTGTCCCTGGCCTCCAGCGCCTCCTCCACTTACTCCTCAGTAAGAGCATTCCCTTCTCTTACCCCTGCCGCTGCGCCGCTCCCTACGACCTCCTTTGGCTGGGCAGCTAGTTGGGCGGATAGGTGGGGGAACACTGCTGTCTCCTCGCTCTGCCTGATGGGTCTTGGGCGGATGTGGGGGTTGCCTTCTAGGTCTGGGAAATCCTAGCGGGGCGCTTCAGTTCCTCTATGCCCTTTCTGGCCTCACCTCCAATTCCTGAGCATCTCTGGTGCCTTTCAATCCCCTCCTTTGAAAAACGGGGAATCCCCTTGTTATAGAGCCCATTCTGTGCTGTGGTAAGTGGGAAACATTCATGGCATGGAGAGATGGGCAGGTTTCTAGGACTCCAGAATCTGAACAGTGGTCAGATTTACCCAGCGTTCATTGTGAGGCATCTGGCCCTGCTGTGGCCATTAGACATGACTTGATTCTTAAATTTGTTCTGCCCCTCATTCTTTACTCCTTCAAGTTGGTGGCAGTAAAGATTAGTCTTGGGGTCAGCAAATTTTCCATTCCTAGCCTTCTGGGCAATGACCGAAGCTGGATGGAGATAAGCTCCAGAGAAATCTTTTTATTTAAACCCTAGTACAGGGTCTGAGCGATCTTGGGAGGAGCAGGGTCAGAAACGAGGTTCCGCCTCTCCGCGCCTCTGCGTCAGGCTTCTTCAAGGCCCCTGCCCTGCCGCCGGAGCCTGGCTTCCTCACCTCCGTATAACCACCTCCTTCTCTCTTTCTCTCCTTCTCTGCCCCCTTCTTCAGGCTGAGGAGAGGATGCAGTCTGAGGTAGGGTGCAAAGCCTTTATCTCTGCTTGTTAACGCCGCTGCATCCCGCTTTCCTTCTGACTCTCATACCATGTTCTGCTGCCATAAGTTTGTATTTCTGCTTCCTTCACAGCAAATCCGGAAGCTTCGTAGGGAATTGGAATCGTCCCAGGAGAAAGTGGCCACCCTGACGTCTCAACTCTCTGCCAATGTGAGTGCCATAAAGCAGGGGAAGGCTCGGGCAGCTGTTTTGGCTGTCAGATAAGTTTAGCCAGAGGGGAATTATCAATTAAGGTATCCCCTGGGCTTGGGTTCTAGGGGCTGTACAGCAAAGGATTTGGCAATTAGCCTTCCTCTTCTCTGAGTCTTGATTTTTATGAAGACCCATTTTGCCCGCCCTAATTAATAGGTATGGATGAGTTGAGTTCATGTCCATCCGTGGTCTTTGAACCCCCTAGACGAAGAAAAGAGGATTCTCAGTGGCTCTGCATGGAGGCGGAAACACCCTTGCCATGGACAGAAATGGTTAAGGATTATAATCACAGAATTCTCAGGACCCTTTACCACTGCCCCGGGGTGCGTTCACATATGGTCACTCGTATACCTGGGCAGGCACAGCATTGGGTATTAGAATTTTGTCCGGTGACCACGACTCTGCTCAGGAAGTCAACTCCCACTCCAGTCTAACTCCTTGGCTCACAGCCGCCTTTCCATAGCTGTCTCCATAGGCCGCTGGCAGAAATGATCTGAGCTTTAGGCCAAGAGCCAGAATTCTTTGTTTCTGCCCTCAGTATATCCAGTTGAGGAGAGTTCTTTCTGGCCTTGATTTGTCCACCCTGTGAGATGGGGAGAAATGCAGTCCCCTCCTCTGAGGAAGCTGTGGTCACATCTCCCCTGTGACTGGGCTGCGAATAGAGAACATAAGAGCCATTTTCCCCCGAAGCTGTAAACAACAGCTGAGCCGGATCTGCAGGAGCTTTCCAAGTGTTTGCACAAAAGTAACCGTGTCTGCGATTTCCGCAATAGTTCTGGTTTTTTCTCTTCCCTTCCTCTCTGGGGAGCCCAGCTGTTGGACCTAAGTCTTCCCTTGGAATCAGGTAGAAGTCTCTCCACCAAGATTTTGCATATTTCTAATATATTTCAGCATCAGTTCCCTCACCACGCTGATTACCTCTTTATTCTCTGTTCCCAAACCCTCAATTCATAAGCTGTATACTTTACCAGTTCGGTCAAAGCTCATTTCACACACTTTGTTCTACTCTTGGGGACCCATAGAATTGGTATATAAACAAGAGCCATCTCTTCTCCCTCGTGCCCCACCCAAGGCCAGTGGCCTGGGTCACATCCTACACACCCCAGGAAATTCATGTCTGGGAGGTGCCGGGTGGGGGGGAAAGGCGCCAGGGAGTCAAGAACATTAGTGTCTCTGATTCATTTACACGGCAGTGTGTCAACCATCGTGCTGTTGGGCCGGGTAAGAGCCAAGGAAATGAATTTAGAGGGTGATTTTCCTTAGAACAAGAAGTTCCTTTGGCTAGGGAGAATAGACCAAACTCCCAGATGTGCCGGGTTCTATTAGAGGCGAGATATTGCTGAGGTCGGAGCCCTGCCCTCAAGCAGGAGATGAGGTGCCAGGGCCGGGAAGTTTCTGCAGCTCCCCTTAGGATTCTGATTCCAGACCAAGCTTTTGTCTTGTTCCATGGAACTTACCTGCTGCCCATGTCAGACCACTTACCGCTCCCAATGCCGGCCTGTCTCCAGCCTGCTTAGCCCTGATGTCTTACAGGCACCCTCGTGAGGTTGACGGGTAGTCGGAGGAGGGAGACAAAATATAGGAGGGAAGGGAGAGGAAAGGCCATTCAGAGTAAAGGGAGCCCCCAGTGAAGTAGAGGCAGAAAAGCACACAGGAACCCGGGGGTTCTCAGGTCTCTCATGAGTAGATTTGCTGGGACTAGAAGCAGTCTGTTTACAGACTTAGGCAGGAATGTAGAGACATAACCGAGATGGTCTGAGGACAAGGAGACAGACGTTCCCTGTACAGTAGGTGAAGTCCACTGCTCAGGGTCACAACAGAGACCTGGCCTGCACTTAGGGTAGGCGAGGCCGAGGAGGCTCACACAGGACTGAAGGGTTTGCGTCCAGCCACTGTCAAATGCCATAGCCTCCAGGCATGCTTCAAGGGCAGTGGTTAGAAACCAGAGGAGAGCCAACAGGGAGAGAGAATCGCAGGCCGACAGGCAGCAGTGAGTGTATGCCGCAGACATCCTAGAGCTTGTCAGTGAGCCGGCTGCCCAAAACATGGCCGTCACTTCTTGCTAGGGTCACCAGCTTGCTCGGATACCCTCCACTGAGGGATGGTTCTGCATCCCCAGGTGTTCCCTTTGTAGTGTCATGCCTCATTCCCCGCACCTTCCTGTCCTCCCTGCTGCCAGGTGGGTGGCTGGAGTTCAGTCTGTGGTCCAGCGGCCACTCAGTGGCCGCAGCTCACCTTTCCCCAGCCTGCTTCCCTCCGCAGGCCCCCAGGTGTCCTGCACTCCTCACGAAACAGGCCTGACACCTGGTGGCCAAACTGTGGAATGCCCCTGAAGTTTCTTGAGCACTTCTCACCAGCTGCGCAAAGACCCTGGGGAAACCAGGAATGGGGTAGCAGTACCAGTGAAGATGGGGGACCACTGGGAGCAGAGGCGGAAAGACGTACCACACAGCTCTCCTGGGAGGTGATGTGGACCGCAGGGGCCCACCTGGGAGACAGCAGGGTCATCAAGCCGAGGTCAGAGGAATGACCTCAGAGATTGCAGCCCTCCCATAGAGTAGGGAAGCCCCAGTCTGGTAGATGATAGGTACCAGGTCCCAAGTCTCCAAGCGCCTCCGAACACCTGCCCCACCAGAAGGGGTTTGAGTCCACCTTGTCTGCCCAGGGAAATCAGTATCTAAAAATCACCAAGAGGTTTTTGGCACATTGTCAGCTCTGAGACACGGAAAATCAACTCGAACTGCTTCCCATAAAAGTCCTTTGCTTTCCCCAAGCCTCAGGCAACTGAGGAGCCTTCTCTGTATTCATTCCAGGCTAATCTAGTCGCAGCGTTTGAGCAGAGCCTGGTGAACATGACCTCCCGCCTACGACACCTGGCAGAGACGGCAGAGGAGAAGGTGAGAGGCCTGGGCTGGGGAGGGACCTGCAGGGGGCAGTTCTCCCGGGCAGCCAGGCCCGGGCTGACCTCCTCCCCTCTCTTCTGAGTGTCAGTTTCTCCCTCCAATCCCGTCAACTTGAATTCTCAACCTGCTGCTTCTCTTGTCTATCCAGTATGGTAGAATTCCAGTGCCTGGCCCATTGCCCGGCGCATAGTAGGTGCTCCCAGTCCCAGCTAATGACACTATTTCCATTTCTCCCTTAGGATACTGAGCTACTCGATTTACGAGAAACCATAGACTTTCTGAAGAAAAAGAACTCTGAGGCTCAGGCCGTTATTCAGGGAGCCCTTAATGCCTCGGAAATCACACCCAAAGGTAGGGCATGCAGACAGGTGGAGGGCGAACAGGAGTGGGATGGAAGGAAGGTCGCTGCAGAGTCCTATCTGTACCCATGGTGTGCTAGGTCTCAGACCAGATTCTTGAAGGTGCATCACCCCTTCAGCACGATGCTCTGGACTGAGGAGACTGGTCAGCCAGGAGCGTGACCCTGTATCCCAGGGAATGAGGGAGAGTAGACGAGACCCCAGTCCCTGTGGGGCCTCTCCTGAACCTTTAGGCCAGAGCTAAAGAGCAGCCACAAACATTAAAATAGCACTTTTTTCTTTTTTTTTTCTATTATATTACTATTTTTTAATTATCAAATGAACATCACAGTGGTTCAGCAGTCACCCTCCCCCTTAGTAACCACTAGTCACTTCTCAGTGTCTATGAGACTAATGAATAGTGCTTTATTCTTACAAAACTAAAGGCACTCTTACTGTGCCATCCAGCATCCATGCTCCTTGGTATTTACTGAAAGGAGCTGGAATTTTATATTCTCACAACAAACACATGAATGTTTATAGCAGCTTTATTCTTAATTTCCAAAACTTGGAAGCAACTAAGATATCCTTCAATAGGTAAAAAGATGCATCAAAGTGCTATAGTCAGACAGTGAAATATTACTCGGCAGTGAAAAGAGATGGGCCATCAAGCTGTGAAAAGATATTGAGGAGTGGTAAGTGCATTTTACTAAGTGAAGAAAGCCGGCTGGGAAAGGCTACATATCGTGTGATTCTAACAATAAGACATTCTGAAAAAGACAAGACCGTGGAGGTGGTACAAGGATGAGTGGTTGCCAGGGTGGGGGTGAACAGACAGTGCACAGAGGCTGGTTAGGGCAGTGGAAGGGACCTGTATAGTATTATCATGGTGGATATGTGCTGTGTCGTTAGACACTTGTCCAGGCCCACAGAATGTCCGTCACCAGGGGTGAACCCTAATGTCAGCTCTGGGCTTTGGGTGACAATGACATGTCAGTGCAGGTTAATCAGCTGTAACAAGGGCACCTCTCTGGTGAGGGAGGGGTGGCAGTGGGGGAGCACGATGTAATAATCCCCTCCCTGTCGGGGGCAGTGCTGTGTGGAATCCTCAGTACCTTCTTCTCATCTGCTGTGAACCTAAAAATACAACTGCTCTAAAAAATAGTCTACAAAATTAGCATTTTACCTTTTTATATAAAGGGGTCGTGCATGCACACACATATACCTGACCCTCATTTCAGTTCTCCAAGGGGTTGCAGTCTCTTCAATTGAGACATGTCACAGAGGCTGCACGGGCTCAGATGGTGAGGCTGGCACTTCACAGCCTATCGAGCTTTGCTGGAGAAAGTCAAGACAACTAGTCGTCTGATGGCATGAAAACCTGGGCTCCCTGCCTGCAGCCAGCCCTCTTCCCTGCCCATGGTTTTCTGGTTCCTCCACTGTCAGTCATTCCCGGCTTCCCCCACTTTTCCCAAGCCCCTCACTCCCCTGGTGACATGCCTCACTAGGAACATAGATTTCACCTTCTCCTTAAGAAAAATAAACATCTTTAAATAAGAACTCCATTGACTCTTCCCCACTCCATCAATTTATATTCATCCGGTCCTCACTTATTTCCCACCCCCCCACATGTTATTGGAAGGATCTATCTCTTCTGGCCAAGAGTGGCCCCTTATCTAATGCTTTGGGGGGTGCTCCCTCTAGCAGTTGTACAAATGTACACACTTGTCTACACCTTTGACTTCTTATCCTCTATTCAGTCTTTCCCCTCTGCTTAGAATGCTGCTAAAGGCTCTTTTATCTTATAGGAGGTGAATGATGTATCCATGTAAGTCCTTTCAAATTACAGTCGACCTTGAATAACATGAGGGGAGAGGGGTGCTGACCTCTCAACGCAGTCAAAATTCCATGTTGATAATCAACTTTTGACTCCCCAAAACTTTGCTTATTTGTTGGCTGGGAGCCTTACCAATAACATAAACAGTAGATGAACACATATTTTGTATGCTGATGTGTATTATATACTGTATTCTTACAATAAAGTAAGCTAGAGAAAAGAAACTGTTATTAAAATCACAAGGAAGAGAAAATACATTTATAGTATACTATACAATATTTATTGAAAAAAAATCCATCTATAAGTGGACCCATACTTATAGTTCAAACCTATACTTTTCAAGCGTCAACTGTATAATCTTATCTCTTTCCTTCCTTCACAGCCAAATCCACCTTTCCATCCCCCTTTTCCACTAACCCCACTATAATTTGGCTTCTGTCACCGTCACCCTCCTAAAATGCTTTCACTAAAATCAACACTGACCCCGATTTTTCCAAACTCTAATGTAATTTTAGTAATTCTTTTACCTGACTTCTATAAGATGGAGATAACATGTAACCAAAAGTCTGTTGTAGCAAATCAGAGGATGTATGTTAACATTTACCACAGAGCTGGGCATGTACCAGGTGCTCAAAAAATACCTCTTCTTACAAATACACAGAGCCAGTACTCCAAGATTTCCAAACTTTGGCCTTGTTTCCTTTTTTCATTAAGTTCTTACCCAGGCTTCTGTGTCATCCTGCTCATCGCGGCCTCTTCCCACTACTCTGAGTCCTTCACAGAACCCGTCCCTTTTCCTCTGCTGAACTACTGACATTTCCCAGGGCTCCATCCACAGCTTTTTTCCTTGATGATTCTACACATTTTCCCTAGTGTTCATGTCTATCTTGTAGTTTCTATAATCTCTCTTTTTTTTTAATTTTGGTATCATTAATCTACAATTACATGAGGAACATTATGTTTACTAGACTCCCCCCTTCAAGTCCCCCCCACACAAACCTCATTACAGTCATTGTCCATCACCTTAGTCAGATGCTGTAGAGTTACTACTTGTCTTCTCTGTGTTGCACAGCCCTCCTGTGCCCCCCCCATGTTATATATGCTAATCATAAT